CCTGCAATTAAGAATAGGCCTATTGTACATGCAAAACGTTAAAATGGGTTATCCTTGGATGAGACTGGCGTGTAGAGACAGAATATACATATTGTTCAGTAGATGTTGAAATAACTAAAGACAACAAAAATAAATTCTGATCTTAGTGGATCACCTTAAAACTGCGCTAATGTATTAGTGAGAGAGAGAGAGAGAGAGAGAGGGAGAGGGAGGGTAACATCCACTCGACACAAACTAAGAGTTATTCAGTGACTAACATGGTGTAATTTTATTTTAAAAATTTGCGATGAGAGAGAGAGAAAGAGAAATTAAATGAAATTGGGGTTTAATGTCCCACTGTTCTGCTCCGAACTGGGCTAATGAAGACGGGCATACGCCATACAGTGTGCTATAAGGGGAATTTTGTCCGGACAGCGGCAAAACGGCCTACTCACTTGTCATTTTTAAACGGGGAATCGAAACCACACCACTTGAAGCAATGTCAGATCTTGTGATTTCACGCGCACGTGTTAAACCACTAGACCACCCAATCCCCATGTAAGACAGATTTTGTAAGTTGTTGTATATTGTATATACCGGTACGGGAAATTTGTTTTATAATAGGCCTATATAATTAATTAAATTGTTGTAGCCTAGGGTGTTTTTTTTTATCAGACATTTTTGGCAGATAAAATATCACAGTTGGCGGAAAAAATATGAACATTTTTTTTATATAAAAAGTATACATTTTGACGGAAAGAATGAAATACAGCGTGAGCCCTGATTTCACGTATTCAAATGCGACCTGGAAAATTGAGACTACAACAACTTCCGAGGCGAAAGTCGAAAAGTCGACAGTACGACAGATCATAGGTCGCTAATAGCGTAGTGTGTTAATTTCCTAATTTCGAGTTGCATTTTGTCTTAGTATGCGTGTTGGCGCCTTCTTACTGACATCAATAAATACAAAAAATATGATTAAGTCGAAAGTCGACAAGACGGTATACAAGCCAAAATGCAAGTCGAAAATAAGAAATAAGGAAAAAACGAGGGGCGCTATTATCGCTGTGTGTTATTTCTTAATTTCCTATTTTCGAGTTGATTTTGGCTTGTATACCGTCTTGTCGCCTCACATTTTGTCGTAACTTCTACTTTTCGACGTTCCGATTTTCGCGTTCTGAAGAGGCGAAAAGTAGAAATTATGAATGGTAGTTATAGGCTTCCATAGAATACGGCCTTTTGTTCTTGTTAATTGTTTTTTTTTGTTTTTGTTTTGTTTTTTTTGGGGGGGGGGGTGCACATGAAAACAGTCACTACTGGGTGATATTTAGGCTGAAGATAGAGGCTTAGCTCTGGAAAGGTGAATACCAGAGTCACCAGTCAAGCGGTTAAAATACAGAAATATCCTCCAAAACATTGCTAACTATCTGAACTATTTTTCTAAAGTGTTGTAGGAATATTAAGCATACCCTGCGAATACAGCAATAACGATTATCCAATTACATATTTACTTTTGGGGAACCAATAAATTAAATACGGTCGCGCATTGGAAGAAGTATTCTTTTGCTCTTATACAAAACCACGCACTCTTTACTCTTTTCCATTTCTGGATGGGGCAAAATTTCCCTCATAGCACACTGTATGGCGTCAATCTGAACGACAGACTCACCCTACCTGCAGAGAAGTGACTCTGACACAGTGAATAGCCATGATATCCATATGACGTTATCTAAACGGCACAGGTCATGAGGTCACATCAACAAACAAATGTAAACACCATCATTATGATCATTATCAACATTACAAGATACAATGTTACATTGTAAACAATAGCCTTCTTGCAGCCTTTAGGACTGTATAATCCGTACAGAACGTCTTATCGCTTCTTCCAATGATTTTTCACTAAAAATTACATCATCTACAACTCTAGATTTGACGTCGGCATATTGGCACTTTTTTGTGCTTCGGTCGTGTCTATTTCAGATATTACACAATCAATTCTGTTAATGTTTTTAGCGTGGGGATTGACTAATTTATTTCAGTTCTAAACAAAAATTTTAAACTTTAACGCAATTTTAAAAAAATAGCCAAATTCTGGCTGGGATTACTGAGCAAAATGGCCATTCATTGTATACTTGCGAAAAAAAAAAAGCCAGCTACCATTTAATTTTCGTACGTTAGTTACGTACGTGTATGGCGTATGCCTGTCAGAATAGTGGGTCGTTAAACCTCGTTTCGTTTCATTCTTTCGTTCATTTATAGAGTTCTATTTTAAGAGTAATCAACGGTAGACATATTTGCCGTTAATCCTTTACCAAAAGATTCTCTGTTTATTAATTAATCAGCAGACTAATATTAAGACTAGACTTTTTGATAATATTCATCACAAGCAATTATCTGAAATCAACACACCTTTATTCACCTTGTCAATCAATCTGTCTAACAACCCAACAAATCTGTCAAACTACAGCATGAAATCGAAGAAAAACTAAGAGCATAAGTAACAGTTACGTCTTTTATATTATACGTTTTACGCATCTTTCGTCAATTGGATAATTTGAACGCTGTTTTTATAGCCTCATCTTTCAAGAACGGGCGTTTGGTTTAAATATTATCCCTAATAAATAAGATAAGGAAGCTGCTTTTGCATGTTGGTTAGAATAGGATGCAGTGATATGTTCAAATTAAACTACTGTCACTATCTTATTTTCATTAGAGTTTTTATCTTTAGTGAAAAAATGTGTTATTTTTGCACACACATCTTACTATTGGCTTAATACTAGATTCATATTACATACAGTGGGTATATGTTATCTAAATCTTACGTTTCAAATATCAGTCATCAGCCAGAGAAAATTAATTTTTTTTTTTTTTGTAGAAGGAAAATTGATAGGTTTTCAAAGCCAATGAATAAACTTATTGTGAAAATAATCGGTAGTTTATTAATGAATACTCTTCTGTTTATGTGTTGTTTTGTATAGCAGATGATACGAAAATAGATAAAGCAGATTACGGTCATAACCTTTTGGTTATATAATAACAGTAAAAATAATAATAATTTACTATCCTCATTTACAAAGCGCTAAATCCACAAAACGTTCACATTTCGTATAAAACATCATGTCTAATAATATAATTAAAACCGATAAGTTTGTAATTCAGATTTAAAGTGAGTGAGTGTTAGATTTCGGTGGTGGTTTGGGTTTATTTCACTTTATGGAAACAGCTACTTGGAAAGAATGACCACCAAGAGACTTAACTTCCACCGAAGGACATAACTTTTTTTCTGAGTAATTGGCCTTAACTGCCAAGATAGAACGTAAAATTCGGTGGTAGCGGACGTAAAATAAAGCTATTTTACACACACACACACACACATAATTCTAGAAAATAGCTAGAGCTGCGTCTTCAGTAAGGAGATAAAAAATGAGAATGATACTCATGAGGTGAAATTACCACTTTTTACAAAGATCATTAACACAGTAACCGGGGTTTAACTGGAATTTTTTCAATATACCAACGAACGGAGACAGTGGGTGATATCATTGTTGATTGAAAGCGAATAGTTTATTATGTAGTTGAACCGTGATTGTAGGCCTGTTTTTGTTTGCTCGAGTTCATCTATGTTTTTGGCCGAGAATGTTCATCGAGATTTTCCGGTGTGGTTTCCCCTTGTCAGGACGAAAAACCAAAGTGCCGTGTACACATTGCCGTGTACACATTCGATATAAGAGTAGGTCGTGGCGCCGCTGTCCGGGGAAAATGTCCCCCAAAGCACACTGTATGGCGTATGCCTGTCTTCATTAGCCTCGTCGGAGCAGAACATTGGGACTTTATACCCCATTTCATATTATCTATGTTTTTACATTCTGTATGCGAGCTTTCATTTTATGCTTTTTTCTGTCTGATTTGTGCCAGGGATAAAAAGAGTTGTGATCCATAAATATAGAAATGATGCTTGATTGAGAGAGATTCGAGAAGATGCCCAAAGTGCTTCGTGTACACTTGGGTAACGCCACATAATGTTTTGGTTGCTAGTGATATGCATAAATCAAAATACTTTAAGTACCCGTTATACCAAAGCCAGTGTCCATCAGTTCCGGTCTTAAAGAGTGGTGGGTCGTACGGAACACTGCTTTGAAATCCAGATGAACTAGAATTTCCCTTCTGTTGAGGCATGTACTACAATTCAAGGCTAGCTCTGTACCATGTTTGGATCTGTACACAGAGTTACATTCATACAATAGATTTGCTTAATTTAGCTGAGCTAGAGTTGAATATTAACCGCCCAGCTAGCCCATCAACATCTAGAGTGTTTGTCATCAAGGGCAAATTTACAAAGTCATTCCGAAAAGCATTTTCGCTGATATCTTTAATGTTTCGACATTATACTACGGCCTTGACATTTTGTTGTGGCTTTTGGAGATCTAATTCATACTTTATCCATACCCGTTCAGGAATTTGATTATCGGCCATACCATTTGAAGGATTGGGCAGAAATACGAAGTGGTATGCTAGAAAATGAAATGAAATGAAATGGGGTTAAACGTCCTACTGTTCTGCTCCGAACTGGGCTAATGAAGACGGGCATACGCCATACAGTGTGCTATGAGGGAAATTTTGCCCGGACAGCAGCACTACGGCCTACTCTTATATCGAATTCCAACTGTCAAGGGATCTTTTACGTGCACGCCAATGTGTACACGGAACCTCGGTTTTTGTACCATCCGAACGACTAGACAGCTGTCCTTGTCAGGCCCTCACTGACAAGGAAGAACCACGCCGGGAAATCTGGATGAACTTTCTCGGTGAACACCCGACCTCCAGGCTAGCGAGATAGCGTCTTACCCACATAGCCACCGTGATCTCCTCGTATGTGAGATAGCAGTTATACATGGCTGAGCCATGATTAATTGTCCCATTTAAAATTATGTTTTAGAGATAGTGCGCATGCCCTCCAAAATATATAATTCTTGAATCTTGGATTTGACTTTATCTTTTCTTATTTTGACTTTTTTCAGGTTGTGATAATGTTGATGGTAGTCGTGTTTTTATTTACGATTTGTTGGGCACCTATTCTCTTCAACAACCTATTGGTGGCGTTTGGATACCTGGAGGAACTACATATTGGATATCTGAAACCGATGCGTATGGCGTTCTTTTTGTTGTCTTACGTCAACAGCTGCGTTAACCCCATTGTGTACGCGTTTCTCTCCAAGAACTTTCGGCAGAGTTTCATTTTCGCCATTTGTGCTTGTATCAAAGGACGTGCTTTTGTACGTGCGTATACATTCAGTCGTTCTGTTGTGACACGGACATCCACCATACACACACAAAATGGCCGCTCGAAGTTGAGTAGCGAAAAGGACACGAACACGGCTATGTTATCAGAGACCACTGCGCAATCTCCACAAGAAGACATGGAACTCAAAAAAATTTGAAAACCACCAAATGATGATTTTTATATAGGCTACTGAGACCTTTAAACGATCAATGTCGAACGTCGTTGGTGAGTGTTCTGAAGTAGATAAACGACTGTGTTATCATTAACACAATGTCAAATAATTGAATAATTATTATCACCTGGTGTCACGAATAAAAGCAAGGATTGTCATTTTATTTTGCATTGTTATCTTGGGTTCCCTAATTCACAGAAGCCTTCATGTAATGCCTCGTTAACGTTTTTCTATAGCAGAGTTCAGACAAGCAGACGACATTTTTTCACACCAGTTCCCGTAGCTTAATGTCATTTGTGCGAAAACCAATTTCAAGAAGCTTATGGAAACAATTGTGTAATTAAAGCTTAGCATGATTAACTTTTCACGAAAGAATTGACTTTCATCTCCATATGATCAGGGCACACTAATGGTTATTTATCCGTGGTGATAAGTCGAATTCTTTTGGTAGTATACCTATTGTATGCCGATATTATTTTAATACGCCCACATTAGAATGGGGTCCTTTATTGTCGGTACGTTGTCCAGAATTACAGTGTTTGTGATCATGAGATTCATATTGTTTTTTTAGCGCATTCTGATCACCCGATTGACAATGTTTGTGTTTATAAGATGAAGAATCCAGTTAATTATCCATAATTTCAAAAAAATTACTTGCATGTACTTTCGGATGTCTTTATCTTGTATATTTTGATAATGTGGGCGGGCCATGGGTTCATTACTGAATTATTTGAAGAAAAAAGGATAAAACTGTAGTTTGTTCTGTGAAAATATGTTGAGTACAGAACACCGCAATTACTAATTCGGAAAATTGTTTGAATGAATATGTAAATTGATTGTTTACATTGATCTAAATGATTATGATATGGTGCTTGTTTGGGTTTGGTTTTCAACCATTACATGTATATATCTGTACTATTATGAAACAGGGTAATTGTTTTATGAACAATAACCATTGATGAAAATTTATTGCATAATATTATATTTTGTTTTACAGGGCGATTCGACGGTGTTATTAGAGCTGTATCAAGTGTTCAAATTTTTATGTATACCAAATAATTAAAAATTCACTCAACGTGTCCCACTGAGGTTGACGATAGTTAATGCCATAGCATATAAAGCTTCGTAGAGAGATATATTTATAAATTATTAATATAGATAGTGACGGCTAGATTCGTAGAATGATAATATCATTTGCTGACTGCTGGGAAGTGGGTGCCCTGGGACATATGTGTATATATATTAATAATGCATTTAACCGATATCGTTTGACGTCGTGAATAATTTCAGTAAATATCCCTTAAATTATTAGGTAACATAAGTATTAAGGAGGGGTGGCAAATTCAGTGAGTTTTCGGTCAGGAAGTCAGGTTCGCATACCTAAAAAGAATCACACAACTTTTAAGATAAATATCGTGGTATTTGGGAAGAAGGCGGTGTCAGAAATGGGCGCTTTAGAAGTTGGTTTCATGTCTTTCGCACTCCCCCGTCCAAATGTTCGTGGGCCCGTATAAAAAAAACCCCAGACTATATACAAATTAGAATGTGACTGTACATGTACGTTGTTGTCACCCGCTTAATAACTTGAACGGCCATATTTTTGTATTCTTGTTTATTTTAATTTAGCCTGGTTGTATCGAAATTATCACATTTATTCACCATATACCGAAAAAAATGTATGCTTAGAAACGTATACCCCGTAGCTATTTATAGGTTAACCGATAGACATTTACAAAAAATCTTGCAGGCGCACGTAATATTCAGTTTCACATCGCACCTGTTTAGAATCATCTTTTTTCGTCCATGTTATTTATTTTGACGTCAATCCTCTACTTTTGTCGCTAATGAGATACTTGGTAATTTTAAATGATACAAATAATGATATATCGACGAAAGGGAAAGCCACCCAAACTTTTTAGTGTTGTAGCTCTTTACAATAAAAAATACAATTAAGAATATAGGTCCGACGGTCTACTAAGTCGTGAAACCGTGTTGACGTGCTATTTAATCGAATGTATTGAAAGCAATATAGTGTGCTATAAACATATAGCTTTGATGCTTGATCACCAAACATTTAACCAGTACTCCATTAAGTGTATTTCCGGTGTAGAAGACAATTTTTAAGATGACGGGCACCAACCAACTGTTAAAATATTGACACTTCCATGACTGTAAATGGCGAGAGACGAAATATTATTGTTAACAAGTTAAACGCATATTTTTACGGATGTGATAGATTATAAGACGACAGTTGGTATTTGATTTATGTATTCTATTTAATTGCCTATAAGCTATTTGTATGTATAAAACATGAACATATTATTGCCGTTTATTATTAAATGTTATTTAGTATTGTGGTGGCCATTTATTAGTTTTGCCATTTATTGTCTTTGTCATTCTATTTATTAATTAGTTACTTGCGTATTCTGAGCACAACTCTTCTTATTACTACTATTATTGTTATCTTTATAACTAGTATTACTATTAATATTATCTTCATAAATTGTATTACTATTAGGGCCTATCATTATAACTATTAATATCATCATTACCATTATAGCGTTTCAAAATAATAAACGTTGCGTTTCATGTTAATTTCCATTGTTTTAAAGATACATTATGGGAGATTAGATAACGGAAGTTCTCACTATACTAGTTAAAATTTAGATAATGTAAAGGCAATTTGCTGAAAATTTCATTGAAATTGATCCACTATGAACCAAGAATTAGGCGATTGAAATTTCCGCCTAGCCTCGATCACCATTACTAAAGTCAGTACGACAAAAATCATAGTCTCGATTAACCATTTAATCATTAAATCGTGAAGGAAAGTTATGCAGTAAATTGGATCATAATCCACTACAGTTCGCAGACTAGCGATGCCATCGAGAGTTGATTATGGTCTAGATAAGTTAATTAATGTGTAATTAATAATTTAGATAACATTTCAGGCCTAAAGAAAGACCTGCAGTAGGCAGATTTAGCTCTTACATAATGTATGTTTAAGGCTATTGTGACTCAGTGAGTAACCGACTGGCCCACTAACCTGGAGTTCCCGGGTTCGATCCCGGTGTTGACTGATAAAGTTGAGGTGTGGTTTCCTGTGCAGGGAGGGTTGGGGCTGACGATAAGTAGCTTCTAGTCATTCGGATTGTACTAGTCAGTTCAGGTATACACTTTTGCTTGCACATAAAAGAACCCTTGGCAGTTGGAATTCAATTTGCTGTCCGGGCAAAAATTTCAGAAATAGCACACTGCATGGCGTGTGCCCTTCTTTATTAAAGCGAAAATTTCAAATTTTTAAGTTATATTTTTAAAATTTATTAAAATAAAGCCTTAAAATGGATGGTATCCATAAACAGTCTTACCTTGTTAAAGAATAATCCTTTTAATCCTATAATTCACTATTGCCAGCTGAGAACTTGGCAAAAATATAATTTTCAACTTCAAATTCCAACGTTGAGGAAATGGCTGACCATTGTTTTCAATATGAAAACAAGGGAGGTAATTGTGTTGTTATTTCCTGTGTAAATGAGTTTTAAGTGTGAGAATGAAACCTATGATCGTATAATAGTAGGTTGATAACCTATTGAGCAAAAGACATAGAAATAATTATGTTTTGACTTTCTTAGAAAATATGAAATTCTCGCTTTAACTCGGTAGGAGCAGTTAAGTAGGAATTGTGGGATTTCGACACAGCACTGAGAATACTTTAACCTCAAATGGAATGAAATACGGGTGAATTTCTGCAAATGAAGACGGACATTGTGCTTAGAGTGAAATTTTGCCTGGACAGCGGCGCTACGGCCTACTCTTATTTCGAATTCCATCTGACAAAGATTCCAACTGCCAATGTGTAGCGTGTCTCATCCGAACGACTAGACGCTGTTCCTTGCCATGCCCTACGTTAGACACAACTTCCAGGGAATTTTCTCAACTAACACCCCTTGCGAACCCGGGCACTCGAGATTATCGAGTCGGTGCATTACTCTCTGATCCACCTCCGGATCCCATATCTTAAATTTTGGTGATGTATACAACATCCACGCTTATAGACACTGTACATATAAAGATCAGATTATGTAGCTTGCACACAGTCAACAATAAAATTCAATGGCAAATCTAAACATAGGGATGGAAATTGTGATTTCCTATTAGTTCTTTTATCACGATATCCTTATTTCCGTTTAATCATCTTTGTGTTTAAAACTTTGTGTTAAATACTATTGTAGCTAGAGGGGCTGGAAATTTAACTGTTGATTTTATAAAAGATATTATTGTTAACTATTATCTCCGCACATGTATTTGCAGCGTGAATCAAATGTAGGTGAGCTATAGTGTTCATCTGTAAATTTTGGAAATGAATTGGTCTTTCTCAAAGCATGAGTTGTCCCGAAATCGAACTAATGCCACCGAACAATTGACGAAAGTGCACAGGAATTTACATGTAAAAACTGGTTAAAGACTTCAGTTTGTCAGAAAGGTAGCGTTGCTTTTATGGTCTAAAGTGTCCTGATTAAAAACGGGGCACAGTAGTCAAGTCGTACGGAACTGAATTTCAACTAAAAAACAAACAACGAAACATAGACCCACAGTTATATTCTTCATGTTCCTTCTTATTCAACAACTAACGAGTCCACAATCTGTTTTTGTTGTTTTTACTGTTTTAAGGGAATTCAATAATCATCCATCATGTCTGTTCACTGGAACTGTGATTTAAAAAAAAAATCAAACAAGATGTAAACCTTATAGATAGAACATACCAATAGTCATTTCAAGTTACAGAATCGGGAACGAAAATCTCATTTCACAGGAATCGTGGGATTTGTTACAACATTTTAACTCTGTAGTGTCACTCCCTGGAGAGAGATGGGACATGATTTTATTTGAATTCCCTAAATAATTGTCATGTGTCACTTCAACATGCCACCAGTCCTTACCTATTCCCATTTCTGCTGTACCTCCGAAATTAAGACTGATCTAGAGAAGATAACTAATATGGAAGACCAAACAGCTCTTTATTCAGTGTTCTGAGTTCTTATTTTTTAATTCATAGTCCTTAATTCTTATTTCTTCACTTGTTGTCGTATTTGTATTTGTATTTAGAAATTTGTTGTTCGAGATTTGTTTTTCGTTGTATGTCTATGACGAAATGTAAATGTAGATTATTTTTTGATTTACTAAAATAAATTTTATCTTTAAATTAAAATAAAATTAAATTAAACAAAATTACATTTTACAAATCTGATATGACAAATGTCTTATTTGTAAAAAAAAATATTGATTTTAAGATACAAATGTTAATTTTAGTTTACAAATGTAAAAATACGACAACAAATGAAGAAATAAGAATTAAGAACATTGAATAAAGAGCTGTTTGGTATTCCATAAACTAAAGTAGGTTTATCTCAAGGAATAGCTTAGTTAAAGTAAGCGAATTGATGGATTAATAAATGATAGATTTGTACTGATAGGGGGATAATTTCAACAAGTTTGAAAGTGTTTGGTATGAACCTCGAATGATTTAATTTAACCAGCGGTTGCCATGCAAGATACGCCTACATTTTGCAAGAGAACAAGCTAAAAAAAAAGGCGATTTTTCGTACAATCAGGGGCCATGGTCCCAGAAGTTATGGTCTGAAATGCACGAATATCGAAATGGACTGAGATATTTGGGATATAAAGAAATAGTTTATGTTTCATCAAAATCGGATAAAAATTATTGTGACTTCTAGAGAGTCCACAATCAGGCTATTACATACTTTTACACTATTGCGTACATGGAGCGGTCATCATTGGGTGTAACCATAATACATTCAAACGTTTGTTGTTGTTTTTTAAATGGGATAAAAATTGTGACCTCTAGAGGTTCAGATTTTTGCGAAATTTGAACTCAACCGTCATTGATGGGTAACAGATATATAATTAAATGGGTTGAATAGAAATTATAATTTCTAGCGGGTAAACAAGCTAAAAATGCTTTTTTTTCCGAACAATCAGGGGCCATAATTAAGGAAGATACGTCCGGATAAGCGCAATTATCGAACGGAACCAAGATCTTTGTGATATAAACATAAATTTAAAGTTTAACCAAAACTAGATCAAAATTGTGGCCTCTAGAGGGTCAACAACCTTGATATAGCATATATTTACACTCTTTGCGTACAAGGCGCGACCATTTTGTCATTAGGGTATAACGGTGATATATCTTCCAACGGTTTTTTAAAATCGGATAAAAAAATGTTACCTCTAGAGGGACCACAAGCTAAAAACGCGATTTTTCGTACAATCAGGAGCCATAATTCAGGAAGTTAGGATTCGATATGCGCGAATATCGAAAGGAACCGCGGTCCTTGGCCCTTGCGTCATACACATGTTTGTTAAGTTTCATCAAAATCGGATCAAGATTGTGACCTCTAGAGGGTCCAAAACCTTGATATACCACACTTTTACACCATTTGCCTAGTGTTCTAGAGTGCCACGCTTCGAGCTCTAGCTGGTCGGTCTCTTCTGGCTTGCGGTCGTGGTTTCAATCCCTGGTGGAGATAGGGGCGCCTTCTCAACCTGGTGGGATTACTCCGGTTTCTTCCCACAGGAAATAAAAATAATAAAAGTGAAAAGACAACTTGTCTGCGATATCACCCTCAGTGGAAGCGGACGTTAAATACTAAAAACAACAACAGCGGCTCTTTATCTGAATCTTACATAATGTACATGTATCTTTAATGTGCTCCCGATAAATCTTCTGTCGCAAAGCCCCGCATCTGGCCTACTGTAGACGACAAATGGGTGATGTGACATGATGAACTAATACTGTATTGATTGTTCCTCCAGAAGAAATAGTTTTAATATTAAAATATGATCTGGCCTTTAAATACAAATAATACGTACACTGATTAAGTTACTCGTAATCACGAAATAGAGGTAATAAGATCTTGTTCACATTGCCATGTTTAAATTCTCGTGTCATCAGCCATCATCATCGTTTGATTAGTAAAAGAAATATTTCTATATAGAATGCGGCATCGTGATCCTGGTTAAAGATCGCGGTCAGTCAGTCTATACAAATTTATTCAAGACAATCAATCAGATCTATGGGTAGTAGGTCCAATTATCTGGATTGAATACAAGTACACCAGGCGCGGATACAAGAGTGGGCGGCAGTCCCCTGCTGTTCTTTTCGCAGTTTTCTTTTTGATATGTCTTTATTATAAGAACACAGCTCGGTATTAACACTGTTTACATAATATGTATCATTATTAAAGTGTCTACTTTCAATATCCCAATTAATTTCTTTCGTCACTCATATAGAAACTATAGGCACCTTCGCACTCTTCCATGAGAATTCATAGCTACGCATACGCCATTATCACCTTGAAGTCTTCTTGTTTAAGTATTTTTTTTCTCGAAAAAAATCACAAACAAATAAAGTAAGAAAGATTTTGGTTCGGACCCCCGCCCCCCTTCCCTCCCCTACCCTCCCCTACCCAAACCCGCGTTTTTTCCAAATCCTGTATCCACCCCTTGGTACACATATTATTTGTAATCCACATAAAGCTTCAAACATCTAAACTACGCCATCTTAAAATCAACTTTATTTATGTAGCCAGATTACTATAGGAAAACAAATAATATTATTACTTCGAGCAAATCTAAGAGCTTTTCGGTCATTTCATTCTTAAGCCAGCCAAGTGAAGAATAAGTATGCATCCCTTAATTTAAACATACATTATGCACAAGAGCTAAATCTGCCTATTGTAGGTTTTTCTTTGGGTTTGAAATGTTATATAAACTATTAATTAGATATTCATTAACATGAAAAGACCTTAATCAACTCTCGATGCCATCTTATGTGTCGGATTTTCACTGGATTTGAATCCGATTTGCTGCTTAAAGCCCACTGATGATTTAATCCAACAAGCGGTTGCCATGCAAGATACGCCCACATTTTGCAAGAGATGGACAGAGAACAAGCTCAAAAAAAGAAGCGATTTTTCGTACAATTCGGGAGGTTACGATCCGATATGCGTGAATATTGAAAGGAACCTAGATCATTGGGTTACAATATGTATTTCAAGTTCATCTAAATCGGATTAAAATTTTGTCCTCTGGAGGGTCCACAATCTTGAAATATCATATATTAACAATATTTGCAGTCATTTTGTCCGGCAGTTTTGGTCCGATTTGTACGAAATTCGGACTCAACTATCATTAGGGTGCAAAAGTGATATATTCAAACGTTTTTTTTTTTAAATCGGATAAAAATTCTGACTCTAGAGGGATCACAAGCTAAAAACGCGACTTTTCGTAAGGGCCATAATTCAGAAAGTTATGATCCGATATGCACGAATTTCGAAAGGAACCAAGATCTTTGGGTTACAATATGTATTTCAAGTTTCATCAAAATCGGATCAAAATTGTGGCCTCTAGAGAGTCCACAATCTTGATATACCACATATTTACACTATTTGTGTGCGAGAGGCGGCTATTTTGTCTAGCAGTTTTGGTCCGATTTGCACGAAATTCAAACTCAACCATCAATAGGGTGTTACGGTGATATATTCAAAGGTCTTTTTGTTTGTTTTTTTTTTAATCGGATAAAAATTGTGACCTCTAAGGGGACCACAAGCTAAAAACGCAACTTTCCGTACAGTCAAGGGCCATAATTCAGCAAGTTACGATATGCGCGAATATTGAAAGGAACCAAGATCTTTGGGTTATAAACACATATTTCAAGTTTCATCAAAATCGGATCATATACCATATATTTACACTATTTGCCGACGAGGGGCGGTCATTTCGTCCGGCAGTTTTGGTCCGATTTTCACGAAATTCGAACTCAACCATCATTACCGTGTAACGGTAATATCTTCAAACGGTTTTTTAAATGGGATAAAAATTGCGAGGGACCACAAGCTAAAAACACGATTTTTTTTGTACAATCAGGGTCCATAATTCAGGAAGTTACGATCCGATATGTGCAAATATCGAAACTTACCAAGATCTGTTGGTTATAAACATGCATTTCAAGTTTCATCTAAATCAGATGAAAATTGTGATCTCTAGAGTGTCCACAAGCTGAAAACGTGATTTTTCGCACAATCAGGGGCCATAACCCATGAAGTT